CTGTGGGCCTCTAGTCCAAGGGATGCGGTGGCTCAGAGGCTAAGCTTGTCGATGAGAAAGGTCGGCAGTTCGGTGGTTCGAATCCCTAGTGCCGCGTAACGGAGTGAGCTCCCGTGACTTGTCCCAGCTTCTGCCAACCTAGCAGTTCGAAAGGACGTAAAAATGGAAGTAGAAAAATAGGGATCACCCTTGGTGGGAAGGGAACAGTGTCCCGTGTGCCTTCGGCGTTGAGTCATGCCGGCCACATGACCACGGAGACGTCTTCGGACGACGCTAGCTCTTTGGCTTTGAAACGGAGATGAACATTGCCCCCTGGAGTTGGGAATGACTGGCACATATGTGTGAGGGGAACCTTTACCTTAAGCCGCCCATCCATCCCAAGAAACGCTATAAACAGGAAATCCGTCTCAATCATTCAAAAAAACAACAACACCCAAATATCACCATGATTGAGGGTTTTTATAAAATTCCCTTTTGGCTCCATCAATCCTACATGCAACTCCATAGGTTTGGTGTCCATTGGTGCAGCGGTCACCAACCGGTGGTCCTTGGACCACTGGTGGTCCGTGAGAAAAGTTTGGTGGTCTGCAGAAAAATATTTGCATTTTTGCATTTTTATATATTGCACTAAGTCAGGGATCCTTGAACTACGGCCTCTGGGTCGGATACGGCCCGCTGAATCAATTACTCCCGCTCTCTGATGGGATGGGGTCCTTCAGGCACTCAGCTTGGCTGCCTGTTTAGTAGCTCCAGCCCTTCTCTCCCTGGGAGTCCAGGCGCTTCAGTGATCAGCACGCAAAACTTCGACCGGGCTCCCTGAGAGACAGAGTTTGCAGGGGGCCCAGGCTGAACACAAGACAAACATTCATTCTTGGCCCTATCTGAGATTCCTAGATTCCAATGGACAGCAAACCCGTGGTGGTTTGCAGGAGGTACGCCCCGGTACGGGCGTACCGGAGGCTGCCCAGAGCACCGGATACCGTTCCGTTCCGGTGCTCTGGAGGGCCCTCTTCCTGCCCGAGCTCCTTACCGGTCTTTTAAGTCTTTAGCTCTTTAAGTAAAACACTTGCGCGACACTTCACTGAGCAGCTAGAGTGTCGCGGAGGCGCTAAGACGCATGCAAGGGGAGGGTATTGCAAAATCTCCCTTTCCTCCCCACTCCAGGGGACGGACACTGTAAAAATCCCCATTGCCTCCCTACTGTGGGGCCAGCCAGAGGTGGCATTTGCCGGTTTTCCGAACTACTCAAAATTTCCGCTACCGGTTCTCCAGAACCTGTCAGAACCTGCTGAATTTCACCCCTGCTTCCAGCTCTGTTCATCTGTTATCTGTTATATCTGTTTAAACATAAGATGATGGTTTGTAACTAAGCCAGTTGCTTTTAAGGAATGGTTGTTTGACATAACGTTGAAGATATGACAGCGGAGGGTTCAATATTGATCTTTCTCTCCGACCCCAATGTCTTCCAGGACATGGCTCCGTGGCCTGAGCTGGAAGACGCAGAGACCAATAAATATATTGAAGACCCTTCCTCAAAACCCAAGAAGACCATGTCTGACAAACAGGGGAAAGACACCAAAGGTAAAATGGAAGGGCCTTCTCCTGATCTCCCCTCTCCTGTCTTCCGTATCTCCAATACAACCAATTAATGACCGCCTATTGGTCAACTGACGGTAATGTCGCCTTGCTTGTTTTTTTGTCCACCAGACGGGGTCATTTCCATGGGAAACCAGGTGGAGCTTCTGCCTGCGTATTCCACCACTGCTTTGACTGCTGCATCCGAAGAGGAAGAAGAAGATCCGTGGAAGCTACCAGAACTTCAGGATACCGGAGTCAAATGGTCAGGTGAGGCTCTGTCGCCAGAGAATGGATGGCCTTTGTTTCAGTTTCTCAAGGTTCTAAGAACCTCCGTTGAGGTTCTCCTCATGGAATGTTATAGGTTGGGGGATAGAAAAGAGCATTCGGATGGGTTTTGCTCCGGATGGCGGGATTTCTTCATTCGTAACCTCGATCTCCTCTGTTTTGTTTCTTTCTTTAAAAAAAAAAGCAAATGGTGGGCTGGAAGGACCAAGGGGGGCATGGCGCACCACCACGAATGATGGCAAAGCAGTATTAAGTGATAACCTCTTCCTCCAAATTTTGATATTCTCTTAATTGAGTCTTAGTTAATGCACAGCACCCAAAATTCTGCAAATGTTATGTATATATTTATATATCTACATATCTCTGTCTATCTATCTGTCCATATAAATGTCTCTCTATGTATTTATTTGCCTGTCTGTTATCTGTCTGTCTGTCTGTCTGTCTGTCTGTCTGTCTCTATCTATCTATCTATCTATCTATCTATCTATCTATCTATCTATCTATCTATCTATC